GCCGTCTTCCATCTTTTAACACATAAAGTCATGTATGATAGATGGAGATATTCCAAAAGAAAAGAACACGCACCTGAAACGGCATCTGTACTCGAATAGCTCAAGTTCAGCACATTTCTGACAAGGTCTCTCAGCTGGGACGAACTTAGGTATGCTGGATGTCGTGTGTGAATCCTAAAGCACTCAGTGATCTTCACATGCATAACTAATTGTGCAGCCTTCTCAGGTGTGGAACCGCGCCTCCCGCAAAAGTGCAAGCAACAGACATCAAGAGGCAAAGCTGGCGGCCAGTGACGACTCTCTAGGAACAGATGCATCCTCCAACACGACCGCATAGATTTCGGGGTCGACTGACTCTCGATTACTAAAGCCTTTGTCTATTTTGGGGGTGTATGCTACCCAAAGAGAGAGAGCGAAATTCTACGTAAACGAGGACATTTTATGGGGAATCACTACTAGAGTATCCGGCAGCGTTCAGGTTACCAACAGTGGTTCATAGATGAAAGGCGCTTTGTCGACAGTGACGAATATGGGGAGACCCATGAACCCAATACCTATGATTGAACAAATAAAGTTATCGTCAAAAAGTTTGGCACCAGTCGAGAAGTCATCCTGGCAGAAGGGCTTGACAATCAACCGGTAGTTTTTCATGAAGGAAACTAATCACAAGGTGGCTGAAAACTCTTCGAGTAGTTTCCTTTATGAAAATATACTGCGATGTCTCGAATATCGTACCAACTGAAACCTGAGGCGGCCTGTGTGCAGCGCATTCAGTTGTAGAATATCATAAACGAGAGATCCAGTTGAGTCTGTCGTGAAAACCAAAGTGATTTGCAAATGAGTGTAGTTCTCGAAATCGACAGTGCATTTTCAGTAAGTGACGTTTCGCATTAGACACAAAAGCTTCATCAGCCCAAATGACACAGGTCGCCAATTTGGCCAGGGAACCAATCGGTAAGACCGCTTCAAATTAGCACACCAGATCAGTGTTGAGTGTCAATCAGTGCATCTCGTGGGTCAGTGTGTTTGCTGAAACCTTGCATCGATAGGTTGGAGGAGTTTCAAATTAGTTCCGATTGGTTTTAGCTCCCTAATCTTCCACTTCAGAGTTCTTCAATTGATGATTAACCGAGGGTGCCACTAGTAGATATCGTTATTCTTCTTGGGTTTGTGAGTGTTGCAATCATTTGGTTGGGGGGAATGTAGGTGGGCAAGGTTAATTGGAACTGGTGAAAGAAAGAAGGATTTTGTAAAGGAGCTATTAGGAAATCCCAACTGAACAGTTCCAGACTATTGGACAGGGAAGCAAAACCCTCATTTGCAACCAACTTACAAAACAAAACCTGAACATCCATCTTCTCCTGAACGCGTCTTCTTGAACTTTCCTGGATATTCGTTGACTCCAATCAGTGATTGCTCAAATCCAAGTAAACGTTACGAAGCGACTCGACGAATTCCGGCAACAGATCTGCCTTTTAAAGAGATGCAAAGCGAACTTGCAAGAACAAAACATACTACTCACAGGCCTCCTCATCGGTAGTATCACCGTAGCGAAACTCAACAGAGTATGGATTGGGACTTCCCTTATTTGATTCACATCAAATAAGGGAAGTCATTCGTAGGATTCTAAACACGGCTAACAAAACAGTAGCTTTCAAGAGGGGAAGCACTTTGCGCTCTGCAGCTGAAGGATCGTCTCTCAGCAAACAGAACTAGGGGCTGTGTCTACAAAATTAAGTGTAACGACTTGACCAAGGTCTATATAGGGCAGACGGTCAGGGAACTTCGCTCTAGAATTGCAGAGCATAGGGGAAAATAAACAGGCCACCGAGAAACGTGGATGAATATCAAACGTTTCTGAAAGACTCGGCACTTGCGAAACACGCACTGGACACGGATTTAGAAAATGTTGAGGTTTTGAGGCGATGATTACGGTCCACGTCCCAGAGACTGATAGCCGAGGCGGTGGGAATCGCCAAGCATTCCAGCGCGGAACTGACCAGAGTGTGGAGAACGGTTTTGGATCAATCGAGCTGACACGTGTTGGTGTGCGGTCAACAGAAGAAGGAGTAGTTATCATCTGAGTTCCACGTAACCTTATCCAACCTCCCTCCAAACCAAATGGTCGCAACACCCACAAACCCAAGAAGACCAATGAAATCCGCCAGTGGCGCACGCGGGGAATCATGAGGCGGCCTGTGTGCAGCACATTCAGTTGAATAACATCACTAATGAGAGATTCTGTTGAGTCTCCCGTGAAAGCCAAGCTGATTTCCAAATGAGCCGATTTGTTGTAGTCAATACGGTCATCATCATCATCAACGACAGCATGACATCAGTGCTCAACACCAATGCTTCACTGCCGTACAGCCATGACTTATTTGAAAGCCTTATTGTAAAGAAAAGAATAAAGGTGGATGGGGGAGGGACTTAGTGCTAGCTTAACACAATCATTCCGAGGTGCCTACACCTCCAGACATTCACTCACGCAATCTGGACAGAAACTGACAACAAGAACGCCACTGACAACGGTTGGCAGCCATATCTTGTAGTGTCTCCAACAAGGCACAGTGAGGATCACGCGGTCCACATCCTGGAAGGCGAGTAGCACCGACAGCACCCAAGCGTTTCATGATCTACTTCATACTCCTCTGCCAAGTCAGGAGTTGGTCACCTCTCTGTTTACGCCACTCCGGATTGGGCATGGAAAACAGTACTCTCTTCGGCAAACGATGGTTCAACATACGTAACACATGTCCCAACCAACGCAGCTTCTGGTGCTGGACACATTCTTCAATGGAAGTACCCGTTACACAACCGAAAACACGCTTTCTAACTGCCTCGTTACGGATTCGCCGACACCAACCCACACGAGCTATGGTTCTGAGACAACGATTGTCGAACACCTGAAGACGTCTCAGGTNCCACACGTAGTCATCAGCTACATGCTGTTGTTCGGTGCCAGTTACTGCGTCGTGATGTTGTACAATGGCTACTTGTTGGCGTAACTGTTCAACTCCGGCACCGTATGTGTTTCGGGGCACCATTACATTCAACTGCGTTGAGAATGAACAAAAAACAAATCCGTACATAAATATGTAATGAAAAATTTAGATGAACAGAAACCTCAGTATACTTAGCACACACAAGAAGATGGATGCAAGCGGACGGCGACTTTTGTTTTACTGAATGAATTCAGCAGAAGAACATGGGCGAATACAGTTACCATGGACAGTATTGTTAGCTCACACTTCGATTTACTGGGATTAGACACGCCATATTTAATTTTACCCGGAATTCTTCTTCTGTATAGACGAACTACTTTGAATGGTTTGAGTAGTTTGGCTGAACAACCACGAAAGAGCGACTAGAAAATTGATAATTGAGTGGTGATCTTTTGTCATTTTGTCCATATTTATACAGGCCACAAACACTCCACTATCAATGGTTGGGTGAAAAATCCCACTCAATGCTTGTTAAAGGAGTTGCAGAGAATACAAATTGAGCCTTCAGAACACACTAACGCTCTCACCAGGACGATTGTGATGCGATACTAAACTGGATCCGTCCGAGCGCTAGGGTTTTTTTGTATATACACTCCACACCAGTAGTGAATATCACTCATCAGCACGAAACTCTTTCTATGCGAGTGCTAAGAGCGGTGACTGATTCTTTTATATTAGGTATTGGATCCTACTTCTCACTGTTTTGCCTCTGTTTAACGTGCGACCTGAGCTTTGATACATGAGCTCACTTCGCGCATTCTTCGTCGGTGGTACACATTTACAAAGCGCCTCAATTTTTGTGTCTTTTCTGGCTTAAAATGGTAGGTAAAACACGTCTAATGAAGCACTTCCTAGAACATATCTCATCATGTTACACGCGATCCTTTTTCTCATCTGTGTAAGGTCACTAGAGAGCTAGAGACCAGAGTGCACCAAAGTAAATCAATATTTTGAAAAGCGTACGATAATGTGGGCTTTTGTAAGAAGAGGCTGAAAAGTCGTACGAATACCAAGTGTCCGGTAAACATGGCCCTTGGAGCCTTATTATTTCTGTGTTCGATACATCGCTCAATTGAGAACTAAAGTGCTTCGATCTTGCATGTGTTCAAAAAAATTCTACGAGGATGCAAATTAGAGTTCCGTGTGGGGGTAATCTTGGGTGTTGTTGCCTCTACAAAGCTTGTTTCGCTGTTTCTCTCCATATACATTCGGTTTATCCACGAAATCTAACCTCAAAGAGGATCAACGTTGACTAGTTCAGTGGAGATTTTTTCACGATGCAGACCTGTTCAGAACATGTCATTTGGCGCGGTCTCAAGCAGGAAACTGCAGACATTTAGCGTTAGGGGAACAGAAGCTGTAGGAAGATCTTCTATCACACCGTTTTCAGAAATCTGCTTGCATCACATCATAAGAAATATTGTCAACCTGATATCCGTTAGGAGGGGTATCTGCATCTGGCATATCCCCCAAGTAGGTCCTATCTGGTTTGGTTTGCGTCGTATGCTGGAAGAAACCACGTAGGCTAACACAACTCTACGAATGTATTGCTTAGCGAACACGCGGAATGCTGAATCAATAAACACGTGACCTGATCGATAGCTTACGCAGATGACAATAGACTGCGCAACGTCCGGTTCTAGGGCTCGCTGCTGATTGGATAAAACGTACGGACAGTCAGGATACTCGTCATCTGATGACAGAAGAACGATCCGAATTGATAATATCGCCGGACGGTGGTCAAATTCGGATATCCTCTTCTATTTTCTGATAAGCTGGAGACCTCCTCACTACAAGTCCGTGAGACTTTCGGGATCACTGAATATGATAGGAGCACATTTTCAGTCTAGATGTGGGCACTCACAANTTTCTACGGAACAAGTCGCCATACATGTTCCAACCCCCAACCTGGAGGGCTAGGAGACTGTGTTCGTCAGACCTCTAACCATTGACCAACCTGGTATGAGAGACTCTGTGAGTGTCGCGGGACACTCTCCAGTATAGCTCAATGGATCGCTGAGGTGCGCAAACCGTCACACCACGGTAAGGTCCAGTCTCTTCGTGACGGAAAAGGAGGGCGACGGGGATGAGGGGTATCTGCATCTGGCATATCCCCCAAGTAGGTCCTATCTGGTTTGGTTTGCGTCGTATGCTGGAAGAAACCACGTAGGCTAACACAACTCTACGAATGTATTGCTTAGCGAACACGCGGAATGCTGAATCAATAAACACGTGACCTGATCGATAGCTTACGCAAATGACAATAGACTGCGCAACGTCCGGTTCTAGGGCTCGCTGCTGATTGGATAAAACGTACGGACAGTCAAGATACTCGTCATCTGCTGACAGAAGAACGATCCGAATTGATAATATCGCCGGACGGTGGTCAAATTCGGATATCCTATTCTATTTTCTGATAAGCTGGAAACTTCCTCACTACAAGTCCGTGAGACTTTCGGGATCACTGAATATGCTAGGAGCACATTTTCAGTCTAGATGTGGGCACTCACAATTTCCAGGGACGTTGAAAACTAAGAAAGAACAGTCAGTGCCTGCGGCAAAATAACATAACCACCCTCACTTTCGATTTTCTACTGAGTGCCGGTGGAACGAGAATAACTTGTTTTTCCTGGTGAGTCACAAGTTTGCGACAACAACAACAACAACGGCAGTTCGATTAGAAGTCGGAATGTCCAGTAATTTGTGTCAAAAACGCTTCTTCCATCCACTGTTCTTTCTACGTAGGTACACTCCCCGACTTGATATGCCTGACTGCTATGGGTTGTTTGACTATTCGAGGCAAAAATAATCGAAGTATACTTATACGGGCCAGACATCTACATATCAAGACAAAATAGGGATGGGTTGACCTAAACAGAATTCGGTGCTCTACACCGAACAAATCACTCTGAACCATGATCGTCTTGTAGCCATGGTGTTTCTGCAAAAAGAGCTGATCAAAGCTGAGGAGCCACGAAGCGTTGTACAGTTGTTTCACCCTTACTGGGAATCATCAGTTGTACGTTTCTCAAAAATCTTCAGACAGACTCAAATATGCGAATTTAAGGGTAGTAGTTTCAACATGACGCCCTGATCTAAGCGCGGCACTCTAACGCATCTAAGTGCGAACTGGTCGCAGTGCTGATTAGCCGCTTGTGGCTGAACGGTTAAGTGTACAACCGTTGGCCGAAATGTCACGAATAACCCTCTCTGGATTTTCGTGGGGTGCTCACTACAGATGGTTCCCAATAAAAGGGCCGCACAGGGCACCCAGGTTTTTCAGCATTGAAGGGGGATCACTGACAGGGCGAAATCTCACTGAAGACTGTTGCGAGTTCAGAAAGACCCGAGCGTGGACATGAAGTGAGCACTGACTGTCACATGGTGTGCAAGAGTTGCCTAAGAATTTGATTACCAACTGAAATATATCATTTTGCTTCTTCGATACTGTTTTATATGTTCGGAAACAAACGAAAGTGTTGGGTTCATCCACACATATCTGAACCTCATTTTGCTAAGGGAAAAACTTTGACCGAAAACGTGGGACAGAAAGTCACGTGGAAGCGCAAGCAAGCCAGAGCCGTAACAAAAATCGTGTATAAATACATCTATCATGCTTGCCTCGACAAAAATGTCGAGGGGACCGTCATAACTCATGGAACCATGATTACAGTAGTATGAATTAAACAAAGCCGAAACAGTAAAATTGACTAAAGGTTGGTTGCCTTGGCAACAATAAATTTTCATTCGTCTATCCTACCAGCAATTCTTCAAAACATTCAGTTGTACATTTTAAATACCTGCGCCAGTGGTGCACGGAATTAGGTTCTGAGAACTGAGTCATAACTGAACTATAGGACAGTAAATGAGACAGTAATTCTGTGTCTCTTTCTTGACTCAGGGCCTAGTTAGCTATGCTTGATTCCGTCCAAAACATCCATATTTGGTCGCGTTTTCATGTTTTGTAAGGACTTTACTTGCCTTGGATCTCTATTCTACGCATCTTTGCTCCCAATCTCTCATACAAATTGACACCTCGCTCAAGTCACCAAGTCCCAGATATTTCGTACACATTCGGTTGGTCCGACCTACTGCGAAGCCCTGTAGACAACAAAAAGTGCAGGCTCGGAAGGTGGGACCCAGCTGAGTGGGAATTCGAAACATGTCAATTACTTTCATTGACCAGAACAAATTTCTTCCCTGTGAGCGTTTACCTT